ATATTGTTGTTGCTGTCCGATAACAATAATACAATTTTAATCAAGCCGTAATAAATTATTAACCAGCGGCTGTGGGTTCTGACAGACACTCTGTAATTGAATTTTTCATGCGCTAACGACGGCAATAAAGCGCTTTGCACGTTGTACTCGTTCATTGTAACATAAACGCTATGCGGTAAAATTGTTATCCATTCATTTGTCTTCCGCAGGGAAAACTTAGCTAAAAGCTTGTGTTGGCATGAAGTCAGGAGACCTAGAGACTAGAGAAGGGTGAAGTTCCGACTGCAGGAAAAAGGCAGTTGTGTTATTCTACATTGTCACGCGCGAGCAAGAGATGCGATGTGATAATGAGCGCGTCGCGACGCCGACGACGAAATATAGGTCGAACTATTAAACTTATCTCGCCGTTGCTCGACACAACCGACAAGCATTCGACGGCATTAGACGCACCGCGATGCGGAAAACGTGTGTGTTTTAAACTAATTAGCGCCAAATTTAATTTTCTACGCACTTTTAATTGCTTTAAGTGAACACACGCACTTCTTCAAACATAATCTTGCGAATTATTTAGCGTGCACTCCAATTTCCATTTAAATCAACTAAGTAATTTATATTCTCACTTGGACATACATTGCGAGTGCTTGGAGTTCCCAACGGCTTGCGGACATTGTGGTTCTTCGGCGACACGATGAGGTAATCTAATTGGGAGCGGAATTGTTGCACCCGGGTAGGATTTGCACCATTTGGAGCATGTAATGCGTTGCAATTCGTGGAATTGTTGAAAGCGTCATTTTCGCGCGTTCATTGCATTCTGAACAATATTCACTTAATATAAATCAAATTTTTGATTATATTAGATACGACAAATAACAAAATAACAAAATAAATTAATTTAATTAAGATAATAATTATTTTACGAATATTAAATTAAATTATTTTGATTTTTTGTTTTGTGTTGATGATAACTATAAAACTACTTTAAAAGTCGACGATTTATGAGTATGCACCCACAGAAAATGCCTTTTGGTAAGTGCAATCAGAAATGCATAGCGTTCGGGTGTAAACCGCACTTCATTTTCATAACAATTTGCACTGAATTGAAATTTTAATGGACGTTTACAATGCCGGCGTATTCCCACACTCAAAGCCTCCATGCATATAAGAAAATCACAAAATAAACTCCAAAAAATCATTTACAAGTACTTTTTGCACAATGTCATTAAAAAAATTTCAAGGTGCTTAAAATAAAAACAAACTTATCCTCCCACACGACGAACGAAAAGGATATTAAAGCGACGGAAATCAAAAAACTTTCGCAGACGAAAACATTGAAAGAAGATTTGAAATAAGCACATTATTTCATTACGCTGTCGTTTTTGCCTGGCGAGGTAATAACTTCAGCAAGTTGCGCGGCGTATTCAACACGCTCCTCCGACTTTTTCATTCATTTCATTCATCGACAGCATCTACATATAGGCAACTTTCATTACACCGTAGCTACATAACTTCTCAACGTTGAAAAAACCTTAAGCGAATGCGGGTTGCCTGCGTTCAACTCACAAAAGTACTCTCCATCTTACTCCTTCATCCACAGCAGTCGTCTGCAATAAGTGTTTACGAATATATAGGCACATTCAAGTTTTTGCCGGCGATACTTTCCGCCTTTCGTGGAAAATCTTAATTAAACTTCTTTCCTTTCCGAAGAGACGATCGTAAAACAAGCTAGCGTCTCGTGCGACCACCTTTATTCTCCCCAGGTACCCTCAGTACTTCTAGGCGGCTTCAAACCATATGGCAAGCTCTCCTCCTGCAACTTTGTGTCTCATATCCGCATTTCAGCTTCTTAAGGGGCAAGGACACTGTGTTGCCTACATACACATTCATGTATTTATGGGCTTGTGTTGCGCCTTTCAAGGCGATACGGAGTCGAGCAAATCCTTTCATCCCTTCAGCTTCCTATTCCTTCATCTCTTTAGTAGCCTTACACTGCGCCATAATTCATATTACACCGCATACAAGTCATTTTAGGCACACTTGAAAAAATTTATCACAAATTCACCTCAGCGTAATATAATAAATTAAAAGCATTCAGGGTCGGTGTTTAAAAACGCTCTCACTTTGATAATAACTCAATTAAAATTGAAATTACGCATGTGGTGTGTAATTCAGGGCCTTTTCGCTTGGTTTAACCCGAGATTTACAACTCAAGATCTTCAAGAAGTGAAACACTAATGAACCTGCATTGTTATTCGTCCTTTTAGGTCCTTATTTGTCTCTACATATTTTTTATGGTATTGCACATACAATATGTGTGTGTATTTTAGTTTAATTTAAATTTTCATTAATTTTGATTATAGTTATCTGGTGAAATAATGTTTACCTACGTGCATGTATCAACTTTAACGATTTAAAGCTCGAAGCTTTCAGCGAAGTTATAAAGCGCGATACACCATCGCTCTATACTCTATACTCTATGCAACTTTGTTTATAATTACCTTAATAAAATTAAAGTGCATGCGCAACGAGCCATTTATTATACCTGCTAATATGTTCAGTTTAAGATTGAATTATTTAAAGCATAAAAATGGATGTTAATTATTCATGCGTTAACGTGCATTATGACCATTTATTCAATTTTCTCCGCGCTGTTGCAACAAACTAGTTTGTATTGTTATTGTCTGAGCTTGTGAGTGGTCCAAGGGCAGCTACACGACGCCATATGGTTCAGAAAATAAACAAAGTGTTAAATATTTATACTCTGTATGGATACGAATAACAAAATACGACCTTGAAATATTAATTGAATTAATGTCACAATTTATGATATTTTAGGAAGTTTTAGAAATTGACATTTATTAAGTGTTGACCTTTTGAGAATTAAAGTCAAATAAAACTCTGCAACTGTTTTGGACGCAACGCAAACATCTGGAACAAAATTTGCGGCTCCTTGAGTCTGCTATAATATTAATTTCGAATGTTGTTTATTTTTATTTTTATGTTTTCCTTGCTTTGTTTTCCATATTGTTCGGAATACAATAAATTGCGATTTTTTAAATTCAGCTCGTTTTTCATGCACAATTGTAATTTATTTCTCCATTTTCCTACACAATTTGACAGTTACCAGATACCCGGTGGCGTATAAAAGCGCGCACAGAAGCACATTTGCAATTACGATTGTTATTGCAGCCAGTTTCAGGTGAGTTTGCTCACATTTGCGCTCGTAAAGAAAATGAAGAAGAAAAATAAATTACAATTCCACTTGAGAGATGACATTTGGGTGCGCGCGTAGGTTTGTTTGCTATATGCTCACCGCAAAGTGCGCAAAATGAAAAACCGGAAACACGGCGATAATTGAAGATAACTCAATCTTTTATTCGTCCGTATGTTAAGTAGCTAATTAGTTGATGACAATTTGTATTTTCATGCCTTTTATTCTCATATCCCTACTAATATTATAAATGCAAATGTTTGTTACACTTTCACGCAAAAACTACTTAACCGATCATCATGAAAATTTGTACACATATTCTTAGTGGTCCCCGAATGGTTATAGGCTACTGTTTATTTAATAAAGAAATTATTTTTTAAATAAAATAAAGAAATTGTTTAGCCAATAATACCTCTGCATCTGGCTATTTGACTACTTTAACGCCATCTAGCATTCCAGCAATGAAGCTCAAACCTAAGTACTATAGTACCATCACACTGTATTATCACACTGTATTACTGACAGCTAGGTCAACATCAAATCCAATTGACTACCCTATGGAGACTGTACACTATACTTCCATAGACTATACTTTCAGCCATTTTAAACTTCCCGCCATTCTACTTCATTGTTACTTCTTCTGTGACTACATACGCGTACGGAAGCAACTTCATTATTTTAGATATTCGCGAGCGAAGCCGCGGGTTAAAGCTTGTTGCTAATATAATCTAAATCAATATATTTTAGTTTACATAACGACCGTTAGATATCGTTAGTAAACTTGTAAAAGTAGAATAATAAATAAACTTTTATGTCAACTTTTGTTATGTGAAATAATCGCACAACAAACTCTCTACAAACGCTAAACATGTAACACAAAGTTACGTAAAAATGTTTCTTTATGGTATTATAGCAAAGGAATGTGAAAATGTCAACGGTTGCATCATCAATAAATAATTTTAAGCGGCTGTAAGAAATACGAAATTTTTAACGATTTTTGCGTTCCAAAAATTTAATTAAAACGCCATGAATTAATGATAAATTCAGCACATTGTTAACCATGTTCAGGAATTAATTAGTTCCAGAACAAAACATCAACCACCGCGTTGCAGTCATGCGAACATGATGATGAAAAACGCAGGTGTACACGAAATAAATAATAATCCATTTTTTTCTTCTTTTGGTGGTGTTCTTTTGACCATTTTCATAATTTACGCCAACCTGGAACAATTTCTTCCCGGCTACTTTGTTTCACTGTTAGTATTGGTGAATGCCCACCCACTGTATTCGCTTTGATGCAATCATGTTGTTGTTGATGTTGTCGGCTATCAAAGCGTGCTTGGCGCAATGTGTAGTGTAGTGGCGTGTGAAAGAGATAAAGCACTCGGAGGAAGACGCTTTCACTAATTTATTTTCTCCGCGTTTCGATTGTCCGATTGTGCGATTGTCGTCGACACGCCTGTTGTTTGTTTTGTTTTACTGTTTCTTATCTGACGAATTTTCTTAGCAATTGTCAACCGAAAAGGTTACCTTGACATTTCTGCTTCCATTATACCGTTAATTAGACGCGTAAGTTAATATTAATTAGTTATATATTATATTAATAAGAATAAATAGACTGCAAATGATATTGGCTGGGTCACGTTGGCAGACACACTTTGCGGTTTGTGTAAGCAAGTGAAAACTAGTATTGGAATGTTTCTAGTTTCTAGGTGTGTTTAGCACGACATCAACTATGTCTTCATTGGAAACCTCGACACGATTTTGTAATTTATTAAATGTTTTGACTTACCCTTGTCGATGTGATAAAAATGACTTTGGCAACGACATGGAACGCTGAGAACTATCCAAAAACGTGCCCTTGTGCGATGCCTGTTGATTCCCGGGCGCACTGCCTGGCCGAGTGAGGATCACTTCACCGCGCGCACAATTGTTCACGTTCAGATGGTTCGGATCTTCAAGGGGCGTCGAAGCCCCGGAACTTTTCGCACTGCGCGGCACGCGAATTTTCTCCGGAATGATTACGGCATAATCGCTGCTTGATGATGAACTGCTTTTAAATTTAGGACTGCTTCGACGACGCTCGTCCATTGCCTGCAGCATATTTGGCGAGAGGCGTCGAGGTTCCATCTCATTAGGTGAAGCACGACGGACACCATCTTGACGTGGTACTCGTTTCTTATAAGGTTCCCGATCGCGTTCACGATCACGTTCACGATCTCGATCCCTGTTCCTATCACGTGATGCATCAACATCCAAAGACCTCTGATGAGTTGGATAACTCTGTGAGGACCTCATCATTGGCTGCGGTGCTTGACCTTGAATATTAGGCCCTTCACGGTCTCTTGATGTGTATTGACCTGTATTCCAATACTCAGGTTTCATACTGGTTTGATTGTTGATCGTTGGTGTGGTGGCTCCTCTTTGAATGGTTTTTGGCGGGTTTGTTTGTGGTTTATACCCGTGACCATTCTGGTCCTTCTTGTCATATCTTGACATTAGTAGTGCTTGAGCTGCAGCACGACTGCGACTTCCGTATATGTACCCGGTTACTATATCAGCTTCCCGCAGCATTTCCTCGTTCAATTCGTCCTCCATGTGAGTACGCCTGGGCACCTGGGAGCGATCCATGCTCGTGCTCTGTGGGACTTTAATTACGCGATACGTTGAGTCTGCTTGTTGTGGCGAGACGCGCTGTGGCAAAAAGTTTGTTTTCTTATCCGGTAGCTGCAGACTCCTCGAGCGGCGAACTTTAGGGTCCTCTTGGGGTGGTGGATGTTGATACTGCCTTGGAGGTGTCCTACGCATTGCTGTTCCTGACGGAGATCTCGATGGAACAAACTCCTGACTTGAAGAACTCGACGACCCGGGTGAAGCTGGTTTAGTGTCACTTCCAACTGGGCTTTTACGGGTCACAGCCCGGTAAGGGAGTCGACTAGTTCTACTTGATGGAGATATCTTTGAGTTGTTAATGCTCATCATTGGAATAGCAATAGGTTTTGTTGTTATGCTCATGTTAATTGAAGAACTATTGTTATCTTCATCATCGGCGTCTTCGTAGACATCAATTGATGAGTCTGTGTTTTCGGAGAGTCTGGGCATAGCACAACGGGGCATGTAACTATCTAAGCTACGGAATTGTTGAGAGGTCTGACTCTGGCTCTGGCTCTGCGAGCTGGACGAAGAACTTTCGTACTTCTGGCTAAACTTCGTTCGCCTATTAGCTGAAGTGTCTTCCAAGCTCTTAGTCTGTGGTATACGTGGATACTTGGGTGTGTTGTCAAAGACTGGCGATGGGGTTTTGGTTTTACGCTGGGTAGAAGGATGAGGTTGTACTGGAAGCGAAGACGCCTTTACATTTTTCCAACCGCCGGGGGCAGGTGAAGGCGGTGGGCTGACGTCACTGTCGATGATCGCGTTCGAGCGCGGTAGAAACGGTGCCTTTGCAGTTGGTGCGCATATAAATTACGCCGGATCCCTCCGCGATGAATGAGATAAACTGGGCACGCCGTATTTATAACTGGACGTTGGGAAATTGAGTGATTCTTGTTTAGGCAGCGGCGGGCCGCCGGTGATGTTCGTGTTGGTGCTGCGGCCAGACGAGAACGAACGCGAGCTGCCTGTCGACACTGAAGTGAACACGGAAGTCGGCGATGTCTCCCAAGGTTCTGACGTGCTGCGCAAATGCAACACGGACACATTCGGCCCTCTGCAAGAAAAAGAAAAACAAAACATTGCAATCAAATAAAAACTAAAAATTTAAAATTACTAAATCAACATCGAAATATCTGATGTCCTAAATAGGTAGTGACAAGTAGGCGGATTAACATAATAAGAATTTATGCAAGAATTTATAAGAGTTGAGAGCAATTTGGAAATCGTGCACAAGTGCCAAAAAACTTCAACGGTGGACAATATATATATATATAATAATATATCGTTCTTGGTTCCTATGTGGAGTATAGAGCCTCACTAAGCGCCTCCAACGGACTCTGTTTGGCAACTGCCTTTGCTTCGTTCCAGCCTTATATTTTGGTTTCTGGAGTTCTCTATTGTGGATTCTGCCAGGTATTGGCCGGCTCCACAACCTTCTCTTCCCCTGTGGGTTCCATTCTAGCGCATTTCTGGCGATATCTCCGGCGTCTCTTCTCAAGATGTGCCCAATCCACCCCCATTTTCTCTTGCGTATTTGATTTATAATGGGAGTTTCATCACATCGACGGTGCAACTCATCGTTGGAGATTGTCATTGGCCAGAATATGCGCAAGATCATTCTCAAGCACTTGTTTATGAAGGTTTGAGTTTGTGTGTGCTTGAGCTCGTTGACCTCCATGTTTCGCATCCATATAAAAGGGTGGATTTTACATTTGTGCGGAATATGCGCAGTTTTGTTCTTAGTGTATAGACGCTTGACTTCCATACTGTGCTCAGCATTCTGAAGGATTGCTGGGCTTTTATTCTGTTGTTTATATCTGCGTCGGTCCCCCCTTTTATGTCAATTATACTTCCTAGATATAGGAATTCCTTGACCTCTTCTATTTCCGTATTATCTATTTGGAGTTTTAAGGTGTTGTTTGTATTTATACGCATTTCTTTTGTTTTGGCAATATTTATTCTTAGGCCAATTTTACTTGCCTCCCTTGCTAATGTTGTTAGCTGTCGGCTCACGCCTTCGAACGTATGTGACATCAGGCAGATGTCGTCGGCGTAATCCAGGTCGCTGAGGTGCGAGGTTAGTGTCCAGCGCAACCCATCCCTGTTCTGGTCTACCTTTGCTAGTATGTAGTCTAAGGCGATGTTAAATAGTAATGGGGATATGAAACATCCTTGTTTTACTCCTCTGTGTATCGTAAAACTTTCGCTTTTTTCACCGTTGTGTAACACACTGCAGTTTGCATCAGTGTAGAGTTCTTGCAGGATGCTTATTATCTTTGTTGGTACACCTCGCGACTTAAGGATCCTCCATAAAGCGTCGTGGTTCAGGCTGTCGAATGCTTTCTCAAAGTCGATGAAGGCGATGAATAGTGGTGATCGCCATTCTACTGATTGCTCGATAATTATACGAAGGGTATTGATATGATCGATGCATGAGCGATTCGGCCGAAAACCTGCTTGGTTCGGGCGCAGGGTGTTTTCTATAGTTTCCGCTAATCTTGTTTGGACGATTTTCGCGATAATCTTATTAATTGTGTTTAATAGCGTTATGCCACGCCAGTTGTTACACTCGGTCAAGTTACCGTTTTGGGAAGCTTGAAAATTAGCAATCATTTTTCCACATGGTCGGAATCTTGTTGTCGTTCAATGACGCAATAATACAATATAAAACGACAATAAAAATCCATTCGTCGTTTACTTTAGCTGTTACGCGTTAAAACGCTATAAGCTCCTGCTGCTTTGTTGTTAAAATGCGTTTTTATAGCTGCAGTTTTCTCCGCGAATGAAGGCGGGTTCGAAAAAACGTTCAATTGTCTACCTGTTATTCTCTAAATCGCAGTTAATTGCTCGGCTGTTTGCTGTATTACGTCCGAATAATGTTCCTCCATCGTTCGAACTGCTGTTTTGACGCAATTAAAGCGGCGTGCCGTTTTTTGACTTAATGAAGCGTTCGTGTAGAGCAATTTCAAATGCCAAAAACTTAATGAGGTTGTAAAATTCTCTCGAGTTGTTGTTATGCATTGCTTCTTACGCGTTAAAACGCAGATTAAAGCTCATAAACGTGCGTTTGTCTAAAATAGCATCCTTTTTGACCGTATGGCAAAGGCGTGTGTACTCTAACTGTGCTCAAGCGCAATATTCTTGAAAATAAAAATTTTGTCGTTTTATGCTGTTTTTACGCGTTAAAACTTCTATAAAGGCAAAACGTGTGTTTTCGCTAATCCATTCTTTCCTTTGCATGCTTTTCACTCCAATTGTTGAAATGGCGAATTCAATGATGTTGTCGGCCATATTTTCATTACTTTTGCGCTGAATTTTGGTTTATTGAAATTTTGCTTTTTCGCCTTGAAGGATTTTGCAATATTTTGAAATGCGTAGCAGTTTCTATATTTAGTTTTAATCGTTTCAAATCGGCTGGTTGCTTGTTTTATGCGCGTTTTATTCGCAATATGCCAACTTTTACGTGGTGGTCACTTGCTAAATCAGCACCTCTTTCGTTCCTTAGATCTGAATAATGCAAAAGATCGCAATTTAATAGAGATTGTGATATAATCGATTTAGCTGTGGGTTTTCTGTTTTGCGAAACGCACGTTGTCTTGTGAATCTGTTTGTGGCTAACAGCGTAAATCTATTAGCAGGTTCGCGTTGGAGTTGAAATGTGTCAAATATGTGCCGTTTTCGTTAATCTGCCCAACGCCGTTTTTTTCCATAATTACTTCAAATTTTCGCTTTGAACGCCTACTTTTGCATTAAAATCGCAATATTAGAATTTTATGTCACCGCTGTTTACGTCTTTTATAGTTTTCTCAAGGATGTCATAGAATTCGTCTTTATGCTCTTTAGCTAAAAAGTATTGGTTGAAGCGTAACATTTGATAAAAGTTACTTTTCAAAACCTGATGTAGAATCTCTTTGCTGTGTTATTACTCTAAACGTTTATTGGTGTCCATGAGATTAGACTCTTTTAGCATGTTTAAACTGAATAGAAATCCTAAACCGCTTTCGTAAGTTTATGATTCATTACCACTAAAAGTAGTCGTTCTCCACATTGTGTGGATGTTCTTCATTCCTCAACCAACGTATTTCTTGATATACCTAAAATACGTAGATTATATTTAAAGAAATTAATTAGTTACCTGCTGCAATTTGGAGCTTCCGTATAACGTTTGCACGTTCCAGCAGCCAAAACGTATCTTGTGTTTAGTATTAGCTTTTGGTTCGTCCTCGTATTATCCGTCCGCAGTTTAGCTGAAGTTTCGCGTTTGTGCAATAGGTTTGATTTAGGTGAATAGGTTATTAGCCTTCTGAACCTGAATTTGGCGCTTAAACTGCCAGCTGTAGCGTTAAAACCCGCCAAAGTGTACCTGCATGTTTGAAGATGTTGTTGATTTCAAGCAATTTTACGTGTTGAAAGTTAGGTTATAACGAATAATATTCGGTCGCCTTAGCCTCGTTTGTCGAAATTAAAACGCACCGCGTAAAGCGCAGATTGTTGCAGTTGGCACCCACGGCCCTTGCCCCCCTCCTGCTGCTCGTGCTGCCCGCGCTGCTGCTGCCGATACCGCTGTCACGCGGCGTCTCCAGCATGCTGTCCACGCTCCGCTGCAACACACGCACAAAGCGCACAACGCTCAGCGAAAGAATGTTAACTGCCTCTGATTACGTCAATGATCTTCGACTGCGCAGGTATGTGTACGATAAAACTTGTATTTCGCCGCCAGTGCAAGTTTACGACGCTTTTTGTATCAAGTAAATTGCAATTAAATTAAATTACAAACTAATAACTTTGACTCTCGACTTAAATTGCGAGTAAATCTCTGCATCGTTTTTCTATTGCTTTCTGCTCGCGTTAATTTATTTTATATAAACATTTTCCTACGTAAACAGAAAATAATTCTTTGTCTTTATGGTCGATGATGTGTCAACTTGAACTAAACAAAGTTTCGTGCGCGTAAATTCACCAAAGAAAAGCAAATAAATGAAATCTGATTTGGTCTACAAATATGAAAGGGGTTTTCAAATAACCTCTCTAGCTGTAGGTACTCGTAGTTATATTTACAAGGAGTAAATAAAATTAAGTTGAAGCGAGTGCTCGCACATAAATAAGAAGCGCCGTGAATCACCCAATTTCCTTCCGCAGCATCTCTCAACACATTGTCGCCAAGATTCGCCCGATATAAATTGTCTCTGTTTACACGCCGTAGCAGCAATTGCTGCTGTCATTACCCAGGCTGGTCAGCGTCAAGGCACGAAGGTCACCTAAATAAAGTAGAGTCGAGTGCGGCCTTGGACGAAGACCCGAGAGAGTGGATCTTGGATGGACCACTTTTCCTACCTCATTTCTCATTCCTCAAACCAAAAACCCCATTTGGAAAGCAAAAGTGTTCTACATCCCGGGTTTCTTGAATGGAAAGTTCACGAAACTGGTCAAACTAATCAAATTATTGTTGAATAGCTATATTGATCTTCAAAACCATCATTTTAATGTAATTGCGAGGTTTGCTTTCGTTTAAAGATGATTTTCTCTCTTGTACTCTAACCCTATTCCTTCAACTTCAAGGGCCTCTTGACCACTTCAACTCAAACTAATCGGACTTCATAAGTTCACAAGTAGAAGCAGTAGACGTGGGCTTGAAGTTATTCTGAGAACGTATCTGGGTGCAATTTATAACCGGGTGCATGACATGAGCAAATGACAGGCACGTAATTCTAACTAAGGCCGGAAATGGAAGTTGGATTAGAATCTCAATCTTGCACAGAGACTTAAGTAAGTCACCAAGTTATGATGATGATGAACAGTATCATTACTCAATTCTTCCACGTGTAACTCTTACATTACATTCTATATTCAACAATTCAAGAAATAAATGTAAAAAAACACTTCGCCCACTTTGATGGATTACAATGAGTTTTGATTGATACGATGCTAAGTATATTGAAAAGTTGCTGAACAACAAAAGTGTCAAGACTTAGACAAAGTCTAAGAACTTTTCCACAAAAGGTTGAAATAGAAGCAATTTGGTGGAACAAGAAATTTACCCTGTAATGTTGAATTAATATTTGGTGGCGGATGTTTTACCTCGAAGTTAAGTGAAGCAAATTTGATCCTACCAAAGTTTATCAGAAATGATCCGTTTATTTAAGACCCTCAGAAGGTCACAATATAGCACATAATCATTTATTCATCACTCGCCAAACTAATTTCATTATTCCATCGAACATTAACTCTCCTCTACCGCAAAAACAGAAAACAATTTGCGATTATAGCCACGCCCATTGAACACTGAAAACACTTCCGGTGTAATTAAATCTCAATATATTGTTGCAAATATAAAGTAAAGGGCTTATCTCGAAAAATATCAGTTCAAACGCGTAACTTGTTTGTTTTAATTTTATTTTTCCAGCGAGTGGGAGGCAGGCTCACTTCGTGGTGGTGGTGCTTAGGCGTATTATAAAAGTTAGGGCGGCACAGCTGGTTTCCGTTTACAAATTGCTGCAATATAATTTCCCACGAGTAAAGTACTCGTGCTTACTTAGATATAAGTATACAAATACGCACCGAAGCGTCTTATCATATGATGACCTAAAACTCCTGCCTGAAACTGATTGTAAATAACAAATAAAAAGATTTTTTCATTTCAGGAAAATAATTATTTTACCATTACATAATAGGCTATTAATTGGTTTGCAAATGCGTTGTCCCTTATTTAAAAATTAATTTTGAAAATTTGAATGAAAGCGGAATATAATTCCATACAGTGCAAGAAGTGTGTGTGCCGTGCTCATTTAGCTAACGAATGTATCAAATTTATGCAAATATATGCGTCCTTTTCGCACAAAGGCGGCGATTTCATTACGCTGCGCCCATGGGACGTGTGGTTCTTTTCAGTTGATTGAAATAACTAAAATTCCATTTATTTTTTGCATCCCTCCCGAAATATATTTCCATTAAATATCTAAGCCTAATGCCGTAGTAAATTACTTAAAGGTATATATTCAGGTTATCCCTTAAATCTAGAATCAATACTTGGCTAAACAGGAAATACGCGAAACTTGTGTAAACTTGAGTGGGTGGTGTTTCACGTATTTGCCGAATATTCTCAAATATGAAGTGAATCAGTAGCTTTGCAAATGAAGCGAATTCTTGCAAAACGCATTGTTCTCGCTAACCCTTATCTTTTGCACGTCAACAGCGTGGGTTTTGTATTAATTCCCTGCCGCTAAATTGTGATTTGTTCATGCAGAAAATGTATACATAGAAAATGAAAACTTTGCACCCGATATGGAAACTTTGTCAACTTCATTCGGAGAATACTAATTCGAGATTAATTTAAATTGCGTTCATTTTCTGAGAACACAAAACTAACGGGACTAAAGTCGATGATGATACTTACGTTGATAGCGACTGCGGCGCTCGCCTTCCGGGTCGATTTCGACGTCTCCCTGTCAGCGGACCGTTGCTGGAGGTGACGACTGAGCGCAAACATTTCAGCAAGTCGCGAGCGCGTCTTACTCGCCGAAGATTGTATAATTGCGGGCGCGACCTGTTGAGGATTGCGCTTCCGGCTCGGAAACACCAGGTGTTCGATGTCCGGCGTATAGGATGGATCCATTCGCACGAAATCCTGCAAAGCGGCCATCAATCACACCGAGACTTGTAAAATCTGTTATATTATTGCGTATTATATTAGTGCAGTTTGATTGTTTTGCATACCGAGTTGTCGTGCGAGTTGTGTGTGGATTATTTAGTTTTGTGCTCCTTTATACCTGCATACTAAGTTTGCCGCTTGAGCCCTTCGACATTTGCTTAGTGATCGACTTGCGCTTGACGTTGAACGGCTTCGTCGACTCGGCGAGCATGATGAGTTTATCTCTGATGTGCGACTCGTCCCTGCTCATCATGCACACGGGGGACGCGTCAAATTGCACGCGTGTGATCCTCGGGTCTTCGTCGGACATTATCGATCTGCAACATACGTGAAATGTGGTTACAAATTCTGTACATGTCAGTTAACCACATTTGTAATTTATTTTACAATATATAACCTAAAAGTTCTTTTGTTTTTTTGTAGGAAAAAAAAAGAAAAACAAAAAAGGGAAGTGTTGTTGAAAGAATCAGACCTTGGGAATTTGCTAAGGGTTAAATGGATGCCTTGAACTAACGCAATGTGCTACTAACTCGCACGTGGAGTCTCGAATAACCGACCTTAACACGTTTACTGTCCCTTTTATCCGTTCCCCAAACTCACATAGTTTGTCTTTTCGGAACGTGCTGCTATTTCGCATGTATTTTTTGTTCCATGCAAAATTTCAACAACAACAACAATAATGTAGTTTTAATATAAATTAAAATTACTTTACAAAAAAGTCCAAGCAGCACATTTTCTAAATTTTAGGAGCTCCTTTACATGAAGCATACCTACTTTAGTTTATCCTAAATTACGCACGTTCCTCACCGAAACAAAAGTTTACTAGTGTTTTCATAAAAGCGATGAACTTTACACTACCGACATAAAAGCGCCTGGTTGTATTCACTAATCACATTTAAACAACAAAGCGCTTTTTGCTCCAACAAACATTAACATTTTTTATGCTTTAATTAACACTGTGTAACATTAGCGCAAACGTATCAACAATATATCACGAGACTGCGTAAGTAACGACATAAAAGATACGCTCGGTTTGCCACAAACAAGATGTTAAAATGAAAAAAATGGCGATTTTTCACAATGCTCTCAACGCATTTCGGGCATGTCAGTATTAACCCAGATTTTCTCATTTTATTATTCATTCCATGCGTGGGGCACGTTGAGCGCGTCTTGCCTGCTCGCTGAACGTGTTGTCATCAACTAATCTTTTACAGTAAACTCAACGGAAGAGGGAAAAGTATAGAATTAATGAAATTTTTATCAAATTGAATTTCAATCACAAATAAACCAATCGCATGGTCGAATTTTGGGCATTTGCGCATTGAAAACACTTTTCAGTTGGGGTTTTTGTTGTGGTTGAGGATTGAAATCGGATGATTTCAGATAACGCCAGCATTGTTCATCCAACGCGGTTGGATTCATATGAAAGCTTTTGTGCGTTTTGTGGTTAGTTCCAAAGTTGGATTGTTTTTCCCCTTTTGGACGCAAAGCGGAATTTGTGCGACCACTCAAAATGAACAAAATAGATATCCACTTGTCATATAAATGTTGAACATAGAACCCAAAGTACTACTATCATTAATTAGTTTGTTCACTTTGAAATTAATTCTGTGTGTCTGTCTGCAAAGTTGCTGTCGTTGTCAAACCGGCAAAAAACTAATTTACTAAAAGCGTTCAAAATTGATTATTGTGCACTAGCTACTTGTATATAAGATGCACGAAGCTAACGCAATTAGAAATCACTTTGCAGGCGCTGTAATTCTGGGCATTATCGATGGTGATAAATCATGCGCGCTGAATAATTATTTAAAGCAAAACACACTCTGCGGTCCCATTTGGTTAATTGTAACATTATGACACGGTGCACGCCCACGAACCGCACAGCACCCACAGAAGATGCTAATTTCCGCGCTCGAAGACACCTTCAAACTTATGCGCCCCGCCGGCGATAACGTCACCGCATTAATTAATTAAGTAAAACTTTTCCAGCCCCCGTCTACGAACAACTTAACTAAGCCTATGCGTGTTGTTAGTACAAATTGAGATAAAATTGTAGCAAAATGTTGCGGGATTTCAAGTTGGAAGTAAATGAATTGTGTAGTGAAGGTAATAAAATGTATACAGTAAGAAGAAAGTTCTGTGGCAGTCGATGTGGAAACTGCACGGAGCTTACTCGCATGCATAATGACACTCTGTAAGCTTCGTGTGCAATGTTGCACATGTGAACATCTTTTCCCGTAGCTGATAGACGATGCTGTTTGAAAGTTTAACGCGCAATCATCCGGTTAGGTAAACTTTCGATAAAGCTACGTGTGTCTGGAAATATTTACAGCTAAACTTCAATTTCACTGTTTTAACATTTTAGGTTTTTAATCTAACTGCAGAGGAAAATATTTTTATTTCGGAAATAGTAAAATTAAGATCTAAAAAATCTAAAAACCCAAGGAAAAGCTGTTTGTAGTAAAATCGTAGTAGAAGCCGTACACGTCCCGCCAGTTGATAGTAAATTCGGTACGCTTCGTCGTGAGCGTTTTGTATTTCCGCTTCCGCGAGGATGCGCGCGTCAACGTAGCAGCGCGCCGCGAAGATTTCGGTCGATAGGATCGTCGGCGGCGGCGGTGGTCGCTCCACCAACCCGCTGGCGCTTGCGTTTTCCCTCAAAACGTGCGGAAAACCATGCTGCGAAAGAGACGCGACAACGTCTGGCTGACATTCCTTGAACGTTTTTCAGCTTTTGCATCTCGCGGCGTTACATTATGATTATACTAACACAACATTATTATTTATCTTCATTGCGGCAGCCTCCGCAACGCAAGTTTTAGTCAAATCAAATTTCTGCCGAGTTAAAGATAAATTATATTCTTAACTCCAAGGAATATAATTTTTGTTTCATTTTTTGTTGCTCTTTTTATCCGTATTATGAAATTATAACGTGTTTGCAGGGCAAATGTTTATGTTGCTTGCGATGGTGATGAATATGAGTTAAAGCATTTAATTCGAGCACTCGAAAAGTTGAATACAAGCGAGTGCTATTAGTTATTATTAGACTGCATAATCCGGGAATGCGAAAAGTTTGCACAAATGCATTCCTTGCGCTGTAAACTCACAGGCCAAGCCAAAAACCGCACGCCGCCTCCGAAACTAATTAAACATGCCAAATCGCATAATTCAATTTCAGCACGTTTGGATCTGGCCTAAACCGGCAGCTTAAAATATCAGAATCGTATTAAACGTGTCTTATCTACTCTTCAACATTAAGAATATTTGTAAAATTTAATTGCGCCATTGAATTAATTTATATCTTAAGAAAAAATATTTAATTACTTAATAAATTAGAATATTAAATGTTAATACACTCCTGTTGTTGACTGTGCAATTCGTGCAAAGCACTGCAAATGAGAAATGTCTTTATCGATATGAATTCGCAATCAGCATTCGTATTTTGACGGCGTTATTAGAAATCCGAACAGCGGGACGATGTAGATCTCAAATAATACGAAAATCACAGAGGTCTTATTTGAGTTTATGCACTTTCTCAGGGTAAACTAAAGCCGGAAAAGTAGAAAAGTTGAAAATTTAGTTTGTTTGCAAAGTTTTCTTATTAGATTTGCGTCTGTTCAATATTTAAAATTGTGCTATAAGTGTAAACTATATTCTTCTACTACCCAAAAAGTTTAATTAAAAACTTGATCGCAAAAGTGAATTTTTGAGTACATTTTTTAATAATCCATAAAATAAAAAATATGATTTCTTTTTTTCCGCACGAGTTGCTTTCCACGGAAATGGCTCATGCCTTCGCATATTTCATGCGCGAAGTTAATAGACCCAATATTTCTGGTCTTGTTTGAACGCATGGACAAAATGCGATCGTTGTTCATGTGTAATAACCCGAAACCTTTCACGATTTGATGACAGCTTCAGCTTAGAATATTTTTTCTTCATTTAACAAAGGATTAATTTAATTCATTTGTCTGCGTCGCGCGGCTGTTTTTATTTGACTTTCGTTTCTCTACTGCAACATAAATTGAAATTGAATTCGCGTACCAATTGAAAGCTGGATGCTGATGGGTTGAAACACACCCTGGGCAGAAGAGGAAAGCATTTGTGAAGCAGCGAACGATTAATCTTTACGGCATTTTCGGCAGCCGGATGACAAAACGAGGAAATGAAGCGGCGCCGTTGCAAACTTTCTGAACCAATTAAATTCAACGAATTGCGATTTTATGCGAGTATGAAATTTTGTCGTGCTTCAACAGATGTGTGCGCAAACTCATACCAATTACACACGCAACTTTTATAACATTAAAATGGAATATTAGCTGAAGAAAAAAAATGGAGAAATATATCTGCAAATATGATTTATGTAAGTTTGATATAAAGTTTTGGTGGAGGCGCCGTGACTGGTGGAGGCGCCGTGGGAAATTGTGTTTTATTATACATAAAATGTATCTATTTGATGACAACACAAAATTTATCTAAAAATGTTCAAACCACGTTTTAAATTCTTATAAAATTCAAAATTCAAGTTGAATTTAAAATTAAACATTTTATTCTCTTAATACTTAATTTCAATTAGTCGAAATTGTTTCGCTGCCAGGTCCAAAGACATAATTTAAAGTAAACATTTCAAAATTCACAAAACTCAAAAGCTTTTCCGCCTGGCTTGATTAAATGACGCGAAAATTTACAGGCCAAACACAGTTTAAGCATTAATGGACTTGAAAAGTCAAGTATTTATTCTGTCACACACAAGTGGCGTGCAATTAATAATGTGATCATAATATCGTTTTAGGTGTTTTGGTCAAGTCGTATTTCTTTCAAGTCGTAACTCGCAGCCGGAAGTTTGCTAGTTGAAAACGCTTAAACTAATTAGAAAGTTGTTGCGAGTTGGGCGTTAAGTGGCAGTAGTGTAACACGGTTTCGTACTCAATCCAAAGAATGCGAATTGTGCACACCTCGCAAATGGAGTGCGCGTAACCACGTTAAACTACTTCTTGGAAAGACCTGCGATCTATTGCACTTACCGGCGAGTTATTCTAGTTTAATCGAAAAAAGAAGTAAAAAATATCGCATTGGAAATTTTTTAAGTGCTGCAGTTGTCAAGTGATTCACGTTTTAATTATTTACTTTTAATTAAAAGGTTTTAAACTATAATTTATTGGCATTGATAATAAAAATTATGTCATATTTTTTTTGGTGGAATTTTCCGAGTATTTGCAAACAGATTTTTATATTCTTTCACATTTTGTAAGATTTTTTGCTCAGCCCCGAAAGTAGAGCGAAGGTCGCATCGAATTTGACCTCCTGAGCTCTCCTC